GACCAGTTTGCGTGAAAAAGAGGCAGAGTTCTTTGGTATAATTGGGGGTAGAGCTACTGTTGTATTAGTTAGTGTGTCTGATGGAGCATGTGTGTCAGTAGATCTATAGCTATATGCAGGTAGAGATAATTTTTCAGGAGAGAACTGGATTTGGAGCTGGGACACAGACGTTGATTGCAGTAACAGCTCTAGTTCCATATGCTTTCTTCTCTGTTTATGGAATAAAGTAAGGTCCTTTCTTGGTGCAGTGGAAGATGGGTGGGGACAGGGTGAGTTTTGGGGATGGAGTTCCATTTCCTTGGCATGATGATGGAGCACTGTGTCTTTTCGGTCTGGGGCTGCTGCTGCCTCTCCTGCCTGACAGCCGTGTGTGGCGTGGGCGTTTCTCTCCACAGGGAGCAGCCCGGAACCCTGAGGATATGGATCGGGAGCGGCGAGAGCATGAGCGAGAGGAGAGGATGGGGCAACTCCGAGGTTCAGCCACGCGAGCGCTGCCCCCCGGCCCGCCTGCTGGAGCCACTGCCAACCGTCTTCGCAATGTCACTGAGCCCATGGCCTCCACTCCCACCTCCCGAATCCAGCAGTCCGGTGAGGGGGATGGGAGAGCTGGGGCAAGGTGCCGCCCCTGTGGTTGGCTGGAAACCAAACTATTGACTGATATTCTTGTCTCAACATTGCTCTGCCCCAACAGGCAACACGTCCCCCAGAGCAATCTCAAGAGTGGACAGGGAGCGGAAGGTCAGCATGAGGTTACACCGAGGAGCTCCTGCCAATGTCTCCTCATCTGACCTCACAGGGCGGCAAGAAGTGTCACGAATTTCAGCATCACAGGTGAGTTCCTGCTGTGATGTTCCTGGCCTTGGCCTGGATGTCCCAAAAGGTCTATGGCCCCAGAGCAGTTTTTGCCTGATCGGCTGGAGCTGATGTGAGTCTGGCGTGGTGAGGGGAGAGGTACCAAGTTACACYTTTGCTCTTGAGGTACATAATTTCTGGAGACCATGCTCAGTATTGCCATCTTAGCTGTCTGCTTTGCTTCGAGTAAGCCTTCATCTGACTGTCCTCCAGACCACAGTGGTTTGGAGAAGTGCAACAACAGTAACCTCTTGGGAGGGAAGATGTCGTGAGAGAAAGGTGCAACTTCTCTGTTTTGGTGTCTTTTTTGCCTTTTCCTTACCCTTCAGCCCTTAACAACTCTTACTTTTCTTTTGTAGACAAGTGTGCCATTTGATCACCTTGGGAAGTGAGAAGCAATTGCCACTGGACCAGTGTTTGCTTAGGTGAGCCTACACTCATGCCTGGGAACCCCCAAGAATAGAATTGCTGGGGGAAAAAAGCCTTAGGTTAAGACTTTATGTTGTTGTGGGGGACTGGTATGTTTCCTTTCCTTTCACCTTACTTTGAGATGCTTTAGGCTTCAGAGGAAAGAGTAAGGTTGGCTGCCAAAATCTTGAGGGGATGGATTGTCTTAGGTGTAAAGGTAGCTTCCATTTCTCCAGGAGAATGGGACAGGTGGAGAAGGTGCTGGGCAGGGGATCCATTTCATCAGCTCCTCATGAAAGCTTTTCTGGCAGTGTGACAGTGTTGGGGAGGAGGGTGCTGAGCAGGTAATCAAGTGTACAAGACTTTGTACAACTACTGAGTGCCTCTTGTAGAGGAAATGACGGTAGCTGGGCAAGGTAGCTCTGAGGGGAGGCAGGAGTGTAGAAGAAAGGGCTGATTTGATTTGTTACACTCCAGCTGGCATTGGAAGTGATGGAAAGAGCCTATACTCCTAACACCTCTTGCCTTTTTCTCTCTTTTGAATTCCCTTTCTAGTGTCTTCACTGTATTTTTCTTTTAAAAAACAAAAAACCCAAAAAACAAACAAAAACTAAAAAAAAAATAAAAGACAAAAGAAAAAATCAAACAAAAAAAACCCAACAGAATTTCTTTTTGCCAACGATGAGGAGTCGAGCTGTGCCCCCGCACTGGTGAGAGCYGTTTCCAGAGGGCCACCTGTGTCCCCAGTGTGAGCGCCTCCAAGGAGCTGTCGACGTGGGAGCCGTATGGGAACACCTCCGCTGCCCCCCAGCCCTTACCACTGGCCCCACTGGCTACCCCCAGTTCCCTCTCCTGGCTCTTTGCTCCTGGTTTTGATTTCTCTCTTTTTTTTCTTCTTCTCAGATATCTTCTCCTGCTATGTGTTTTTTTTTTTTTTTAAATGTTACTTTCAAATCATATGGTTTCTAGCCATATAAATTTAAACTTTGCTCTCCTTTTTTTTCTGAGTGCAGGGGTTGGTGGTGGGTGGGTGAGGTTTTTTTTGTTGGTTTTTTATTTTGTTCCTAGTGGGCAAGGACGGAATCAGATTCCAGCCACAATTGATGGTCAAAGTCTGATTTTATTATTATAACAGGATTTATTTTCTCAAGCATTAAACAAATTTTAAGCTGTGAGGGGAATTGTGGCAACAGCCTAATCATTGACTAGGGCTTCCTTTCCTTGGGTGGCTTCTCTGCGGTTTCTTTTTTGGCTGTTGGGAGAAGTGCCAGCCTTCCCTGATCCAAGTGGTCCTCACACACCAAGGGATCTCTTTGGAGAGGCGCCTGGTCCCATGGAGGATGGGATTGTTGGAGCTGACATACAGGGAAAAATATACTTCTCATCCCTGCAGCGGGGTCTTTTCTTCGTCTGGCTGTGCGTGTTTTTCTATTTTTATTTTTTAATTAAAACTTGTTTTAATTCCTGTGGAGAGAGTGTGGGACTTGAGGAGAAGAGAGTGGTGCACAGAAACTGGAGTTTGGAGTTCTTTCAGAGCGATGGCTCTTGCTCTCTCCTTTCCTCATGCAGCCCCAAGTAAGATCCACCAATTCATGCACAATCCCTTCCTGCCCTCTCCCACCCATCTCCCCCCCTTTCCCCCCCACTTTAGTTTTTTTTWAAATATAATTTAGGAATACTCAAGCTGCTTTGTGGCACTTGGGGCTTTGAAACACAATGATCACCACTGCGACCTATGGCCTGTAGCAGACACACTGTCACTGTAGTGTGGAGCCGATGGGTTGTTGGCAGGGCGGGGAGGGTGGGGTTAGTCTTTGTTTTGTTTGTTTTTACACTTTCTATTTAACACTTTCTTTTTCCTCCCTATTTTTTTTCCTAATTTATTTACCCCTCTTACTGTCTCTCTCTTTTTTTTTTTAATTAAAGAGCAAAACTTTTTATTACTTTGTAATTTAAAAAAACAAAAAAAAAAACTGAAGAACTTTGGGGGGGATTTTGTACTTTTTTCCTGTGTAAATATTGGACTTTTTTGAGCTTTATCGTGGTTGTTAATTTGAAGTAATAAAGTAGAAAATGATAAAGTGATGCCAGCATCTGTCATTTCTATTCCTTTAATGGCCCTGGCATCTTTGCTGGGAGTCACATCTTAACACACAGGAACCACGGTCTTGYGGCTGAACCCGTTTCTGAATTCCAGGAACAAGTTTGATCAGAATTACTGGAAAAAAAGGGACAGGACTGGAGCACCTAAAAATAAACCTGAGATGATCTCTGCATTTGCAGCCTTGGAAGAGGCAAGAGTTATGTGAAATCTGATTCAGGATCTCTTGGCTTCTGGATCTGAGCCTCTGCCGTCCCATGTGTCTGGCCTTGAGGAGAGATGGGCCTTTCCACACTGTTGGCTCTGGGTGTACACTGAGTGCAACAGAGGTGGACCCTGGATTTTGTGTTTCCTTGTCTTCTATGTTTAAACTTCAGTCCTGAAGGAAAGGGGAGGGGCCCAGAGCACCTGACAACAGCAAACAGGATCAACTCCTTTTGAAGTGGCACCTGCTACTTTGGTGTCTTTGGTGGTGTGGTTTGTTTGGTTTCTCCTCGTTTGGTTGTCTGACCTGTCTGGCAGTAAATGACAAAATTTTAATACTGATTTATTTCTAAAACACTGCTCCTGTGGTTATGTGTCCCTGCATTATCCGGATGAGAGGCCTGTTTCTTCCAGGCTCTGTGAAACCCTTGAAACTTATTTTCAGAAACACCTGCTAAGAATAAATTATGAATCTCGGTGACTTTGCAAATTCTTTCCAAGCCTGTTCTCTGCCAGCTGAGCAGAAGGAGCTGTTCCTTTGTTTCCGTGCTGCATGGCTCTTCTAGCTCCTGGGATGAGAGAGTAGGAGGGACAGGAAGAGGAAGGTAGTGCCAGGGGTCTGTGGTATCGTGTGGTTGCCTCTATCCTGCGTTTGTCCTGCCTCTATTTTGAGTGTGCTTTTGCTGGATCAGAATGAAAGTGGACTTTTCCTATTTCCTGTTTTCTGTGAGAAAGGGGAACGTTTCCTGTATGTAAGACAACACCCATCCCTGCAGCATGGTGGAGGCAGCAGAGCCGTGGTCGGGCAGGATCCAGGGGCAGTGGGTGTGTTTAGGGTAGGAGTTCTGTCTGGGGACATAAGGCGAATGAATGCACTGCTATTTTGGGACATGTGGGGTAGCAGCTCCAGGGCTGCATCTGTGTTTCAAGAGGGCAAGGGGAGTTCTAAAGCAGCAGGAGAAAATCATCGACCCTATCTCGGGTAGGATGTCACCTCCTTTGGCTAATACAGTCGTATTACACGTTCTAGGGCGTGGTGCGTTGGCTTTTTTTGTTTGGCTGATTTGGTGGTGTTTTTTCACTCTAAGTGCGCTGTTCGGGCTTGCGTAGAGGCATTGCTTTGGTTTCCAAAACTTCTACGCATGCTTGTTTCCCTCGGAGTTTGCGGGAAAACASCGCTCAGGTCAAGGTGGGAATCTGCCGGGGGGACAATCTTCTGGAGGCCAGTACTGCCCTTAGTCGGCCTGGCGGGCGACAAGAGCTGCGCGATGGCTGGAACGCTCATCCCTCCGCCCGGCGCTGCGGAAAGATCGCATCGCACCCGCTCCGGAGGCGCCGCCCCTTTAAGAGKAGAGCGATGACGCCACCCTGTTCCCTCTCCGCGCGGACAGTGGSCGGGGCGCGCGGTGCCGTGCGCAGGCGCGGAGAGAGGGCCGGGCCGGGCCCGGCGTCGCCATGGGCTCCTGAGGCCTTCGCGCCCCCGCGCCGGTGCCGGCGCCGCCCGCGGGGCAGCGGGCCAGGGCCCGACCCGACCCCTCCTCACCCCACCGGGCTGGGCCGCGCCCGCCCGCCCGCTGCAGGGTAAGACGTGGCGGGGGCGGCTGCGGGCGCACGGGGCGGGCCGGGCTGGAGGGCTGCGCTGGCGCGGGGGTGGCTCGTTGAGGCGCCCACATACTCACCTTGCGCCCGTGTCGGCCCGGTGAGGTCGCGACCTCACCCCTCGCAGCCTCCTCAGATTCCTCCTCCCGTTCCCTGGGGTGGCCCGCGCAATTCACCCCGTGTCTTCCCTGCCCTCCGGCCTTTTCTCTCCCGGTGTGCGCCCCCTTCTTAGGGCTGCCCCGCCATTCCCGCTCCGCGCACATTCCTCCCGCATGGCCTCCGTACCTCCGTACACACAGCGCCCCACCCACGCGTCTACTCACAGCCTCCCAGTGCAATCCCCACAACCTCGCCCCCGACCCCTGGTGCAGCCCACCCAATTCCTTCCTCTCCCTCYCACCCCGCAACCTGTCCTTGCTGCAGCTGTCCCACTCTCCCCATGCACACACACGCATCTGCAGAGCCCCCGCGTTCCCAGTGCTGTCACACTCTTTGCTGGCATTAGGTGGGTGTCACTGTCAGCACTCGTGTCTGGYCCTGGGTGGGCTGGGAACTCAGTAGATCGCAGCAAGGTGGTGGGCCCCAGGTTTTGTGTTCRCTAAGTTTCCTATGGTTCAGACTGGACAGACTGACAGACGCCTTGTGCATTTGCTGGATGTGGCAGTTGTGTGAGGAGGCTGTTACTGTGCCTGTGTACTTTTGCGTTGTAGGTCAGTTGTGGTGGGTCATGTTTGGATGCTCACGGTGTCTTGAAATCTCAGTTCTGTGAGGGCTAAATTCAGCCTTGGCAGCTGTAGCTTGTWGTGGAAGGAGGGCTTTGGAAGAACATGACTGAGTCCTCATGAATTGTGAAAAGGGGCTAGAGAGATTTCAGGGACAGCTCTGTGAAAGCTGCCTGGAACACTCTGAAGCTGTCAAGAGTGGGTGGAGGAGGAGTAGGAGAAAATCTGGAGGAAATACTGAAGATGAGTGATGCTTATAGAAAGTTTGAAATTGTTCTTTCTATGTAAGGAGCTTGAACGGGAGTAATTATTGAAGACATAAACACAGGTTTCCTCAGAGAGAAGACTGTTTATCTCCTTTAAAGATAAAAATAGAAGACATTGATCAATAATAGAAAAAAGGCTAATAGGGTGAATACAAATGGCTTTCCTGTCCTGCAAGAAAAAGAAAACAATCGAAGAAAATGCAATAGAGGACATGTGCCACTAACAAAGACTTGGGTAGTATGACAGCAGTATGTTGTATTGTGGTGTTATCTTTTGGTCTAAGAGCTTAGCAGCCTCCCTAGAAAGGAACACACATTTCTCTAGAAATGTTCATGTTATTCAGGTTTCTAATACCAGAGGTTTGTATTTGTGTGATACTGTTGGAAAAAAAATAAACTCTCATGATTTTAGGATGTTGGCTAAGTACTAAACAATAGGGTTTTAGGGAGAACTTTTCTTAAGGCAAAGGTATTCCAGAAAGGCCTCCTTCAGGCTTTTTCTTCCACCATAGTCCCCAAGAAAATGTGCTTCAAAAACTGCTGCTCTGGTTTAGTGGAGCAGGTTTTTAGGTTCTTAATACTGCCATTGTTATGGTTATGCTGTGAAACCTAGGCAGCATGGAAGCAGCAGGTGGGTAGCTCTGCATCTGGAGCAGGAGTGGTTTGATCTTCTGGTGAAATGATTGGGAAGCTTTACTACTGAAGTCAGTGTTTCTGACCAGCTTGGTGGTATGGGCAGATATTTTTCTTTGTATTCTGCTCAGATCTTTGCAATCAGTTCAGAGCACTGAAMAAGTTGTGTTTTGGAGATATGAGACAAAGGGATGAGCACATTCCAACCTCTGGGCGTTTTCTGGACTTAAGTTTGTCTGTCTCCTTGCAACACATGGCAGTTAAAAGGGGAAAGTTCTTAGATAAACTGSTCAGAAAATGAAGTTCAGTGTGACAGACTTTAGGCATAATAAAAACATTCTGAGCTGTCTGGTCTCTAAGATTTGACAGAATCCAAATAGAAATCTGCCTTCTTCTCTGTCAGTTTCTTTGCCTGTTTGCTGGTAGCAGGCTGGGAGGTGAGCTTTTGCAGTTGTGGGATTAGGGTCTTTTTCTTCTAGTGGATAAAGGAAGGGGTGGGTTATTTTTTTTCCTAGTACAAAATAACTTTTAAAACACCTCCTTCCCCACTCGCCCCAAAAGGTAGTCCCTTTTTCTACTCAGTTCTACTGCTGAATTAACTAAAACATCTAATAATAATACTTTGACATAAGATGACAACATTTTAATTTCCATTTGAGGAACTTACCGAAACCTGTTTTGGTTTCATTTTTAACTGGCTTGTGTTTACATTGAGGGAGGTAAACTGTTACCTGCCCCTTCTAGCAGAAGTGCCTGTTTCATTTTCCAGCAGCTTAAAGGATATCTTTCAGCTCTTGGAGCAATGTCTGGTGGAAACACTGAATTCCTCTGGAGATGTTTGTTCTTTGTTCCTAGCTGCTTCAAGAGTCCAGTGTTGAATTGTTTAAAGTATTGAAAGTTGAAGTAAAACACGAAGTTTCAAGTCTGACTGGTTGATTCCACTGCTATGCCTCATTTTCTCAGTGTTTCCAGCCTGAAGTGGAGGAAAGCAAGGAAAGCAGCAGTGAATGTACAGGTTGGTCTGTCTACAATATGAAGAGGATAGCACAGCCTCGGAGAGAAATTGTGTTTAACTTTTGTACAGTCTGAGCTTTTCGAGTATGTACATGACTGCAGCTGGCTGCCTGTGTAACAAAGCAGCTGTGTGTTATTGAACGGCCCTGGCTGGGGGCAGAAGCTCTTCTCTGGTTTAAAGTTTGTGATTGATTGTGGCTTGCCGGGTCCCTGGCAATTTGAGGTGTTATAGAGAATAATGTTTTGTGTGCTGAGTTATCCAGCTGTTCACTTGTAGTGCTGTGGCTGTTTGTGTTGTTGGCTGTTGTTGTGTGCTGTTCTTGATTCTTCCCAGACTCTCTGGGGTTTGCTTTCCTGTGGTGGAAGAGTGGTTTCCTGTCAAGACATCACACCCTACCAGAATGCTTGGGACTCTGAAAGCGGTTTGACACTGTGATAAGATGGACTGAAACACTTAGCTGAAACAACTGTAAGATATTATAGTAGTTGACCTGAGAACACCCTTATAGCAAGGAGTTTGGGGTATTTTTTCTCTTCTTTTTTCCCCCCATTTTTTTCCATTTTTCTTTT